AAACCTTCTTTTCAGAAGTGTTTCTGTTTTTCATCGAACAATGTTATTCATGTTTTTATTTTACATCTAGTATCTATTTTGTTAATACATTAACGCTATCTATGTACGCAATCTTGATTGGTTTATTTATCAGACCGAATGATAAATTATATGGCTTATTTGTTTACTTTATTTATGTTATTTTTTTTTCATTTATTTTATATCAACTTGTTTAACTTTGTTTTCATTTAGTCATAATCATGTCAGATAAATTCGTTCCATATCATTTACGTGATATTAACAATCCTCCAGCTCATCTTGGCGACAAGCGAAAATCGAATTGGATACGTACTGCACAAAAAGCGCAGAAAAATTATCAAAATCAACAACAATATCCAGCATTTACTTTACCAACATCATTTTATGAAATTATATATGTAAATAAATTTACAACAACGGAAACAATGCAAAAATTGATTGATCATGTACGGCATTGCCATGAATTTACATTTGATACAGAAGGTGAAAAATCAAACAAGCAATTAGCCTTAATTCAGATTCAAACAATACCTCAACAATTACCATGTTTCGTCGTATTAGTGGAATTATTACATCTACCATCATTTAATCCATTAATTTTTGTTAAAATTAAACAATTATTTACATTGATATTTCAATCGAAAAACAAATTATATTCGTGGGGTCCACTACGAAAAGAATTATATCCGGCTGTGAATTATGAATTGTTAGAGTGGCCTATTACATCGCAAATATTTGATATTCAACTTGGATTTAGTGATTGGTATACATGGGCACTATCTCATTGTGAGGTGTGTAGCCCGTCATTACTTCAACATAATGTTATAAATGATGTTTGTTCCAATACAAATATTAATTCATCTTCAAAATGTACGTGCCATGAAGCAAGTCCTTATCGTCCTGGAGAGAAATGGGGACTACAAGACGCTTTCATTTACACTTGTCAATTGTTTATCGATAAATCAATGACAATCAGTTATTGGGCAAAAGGATTAGATCCACATCATTCAACATTATCGACAATAACACGTGAAAAAATGTTGCGTTATGCAATCTATGATTGCTTTACCACAACATATTTAGCACGTCCAGTTTTAAGCACTTGGACATTTCAAAAGGTAAAAAATATTAATTTAGTTGATCTATTTCAGGCATCATTATCGTCTACATCGCCATCATTATTCTCATTACCTCACGAACATAACACCACTATCAACACCTACATTAATCCACAAATTTTTAAAAATGTTATTGATAATGATTTAGAATTTATTTCGGAAGATAGTGATGATGACATCACAATTAATCAATGCCGTACAATTCCTGTTAATAATGCATTATATGAACAAATTTCCGATGATGACATTGACATTTCAATTGGACAACAACAACATCAACCTTCAATTGAATCACATTCAACACACGATCGACGAACTGATGAACGAAAACGTCGACGATCTAATGAATCAAAAATTCGACGATCTGATGCAGCACGACAACAACGAAATCGAAAACGTAATTATATTCATCGATTATACCGTTATCTTCATATTTTAGTTCGTCGCATTTACCACCGTTTCACCATGTCATGAATTAAAGATATTCTTCGACGACATCACATTTACTATCGCCATGTGAAAATCGTCGCCTCGTCTTTAATTATTGGCATCAAAAATTCAACGCTGCAACAAGAATTCGATCAATACTTACCTGTCGATTTATTTGATCGTAATCATTACTATCATCATCGTCGTCATCAACATCATTATCATCGCCATCAACATCATTATCATCGTCATCAACATCATCATCATCGTCGACATTCACATCATCATCACCGCGAACAATAAAAACAATTTTCTTCTCGCTATATATTTTTTTTTGTTTGTTTTTCTCTCCTTTTTGTTCTGATATGTTTTTTCTTTCTCGGTGATAAATGAACATATTTTCTTCGTTTTCTACTTCGTGTTTTCCTGTTGTTATTATTTTGTTGTTTCATCTGTTTTTTCTTTTTCTACTCATTTCTATATCTAGTCAGATATTTTTTCACATTGATAAATATATATTGAAAATATATATTAATTTGTTGTTTCCTTTCTTTCTTTTCTTTTTTGTTATTTTTGTAACAACCAAAAAAAAAAAAAAGTTTTAGTAAACAAAAACTTTTTTCTTGGGGGGTAAGGGTGTTAGGGTCTGACATCTTTATCTATATGTTGGAGGTCAACATTCTCTTGTTTGTTTGTTTTCTCTCGTTCTTCTCCCTTTTTGTTTATTGTTATGAAACAGTTATGTCTTATACGTAATA